ATTATTATTATTATTATTATTATTATTATTATTATTATTATTATTATTATTATTATTATTATTATAAATGAATAAATATGGCCATTCAGTTTCCTTTGTTTGTGTCCTCTAAGCGTCACTGCCAAGCTGAATTTTAATATATCGAAAATGGTTTATTGAGAAAAATGCACCTGATAACATTCCAGAAAAAATAGAATAATGTTCTTTTCTTTTTGCCACGCTACATGTAAAAGCAGTTGCTGCGTACAACAGAGAACCAAATTGGTTCAAATTAGTTCTTCCACAAGCTCGCACTGATTATCTGAAGAGCGGAGCTCAGTTGTGGAACAACTTACCTGTGGAATTAAGACAAGCAACTTCATTAAACGAGTTCAAGACTAAACTAAGTCGCCAAGTAAATGTTTTCTACACTGCCTCCATGAACAGCAGTTTTTAATGTTGGTTTTTTCTGAAATTGTATTCTTCGATTGTAGTTAGGAAGATAGGTAGTTAATTGATTATCATAAATAGACTGAAGCCCCCCTTTAAATCAACACAGGAGGTGTTATGATATGCGGTGAACCAACTAGAGCATCCTTCTTTCTTTTTCGTTGTTTTGTTCTGTTTTGTGTTGCCCATATTAAGAATATTAAGGAATAAGTGATATAATACAATACAGCTAGAGAAATCATGTATTCAAATGCGGTTTAAGTTGATTATAAGTACCGTTGTCGGCTAAAATGCAAGAAATAAGATAAGTATCATATTTTATAATCGTAAACACCGTTTATTTCTATTGTTTAGTAGGGCAACTGTATTGTAGTTAGTCTAAGTGTAGGTTATTTTAATTCAATCATTGTAAGTAGTGTTTTTTTGTTGTTGTTGTTGTTTTTTTTTTCTTTTCTTCTTTTCTTCTGTTTGTATGTTGTTACCATTCCAATAAAATAAAATTAAAAAATAAATAAATGAATAAATAAATAAATAGATAGACTGATGGAAATACTGTGTAAAAAATAAAACTTATAGTACATGGTATCGTATCGTAACCCGTAAAAATGTCGTTTCCAACCGCTACGTCGTTGTTATGGCTTCATTTTTTTCAGCGCTCTTCATCTGACAGCTGGCCTGTCAAATTCTTCGGATCTGTTAGAGCTGCTGTTGTCTTTCGATGCTGATGTGGATGCTATGAACGATGATTTGTGTAGCCCTCTGTTTTACGCCACTCAATCGAACAATCTGTACGCTGCTAGTCTACTACTAAATCATGGTAAGTTTAACAAGTAGTCTCTTGCTAGTTCAGAAACTCTTAAGGTGGCTGAACACAGTTTTTGATACCTGTGTTTCATTCACTTTTTTCTCTAAAACCCTTGATCTCTCGGTCGCCAAAAATGGCAG